ACCAAAAAACAAAAAACTAAAACAAACAAACAAAAAACCTTTAAAACATTTTCAGATCTCTTTAACATCTGTGACTTAATAGAAGAAAGCCAAATTCTCATATTTTCTTCTGCATTTAATCTGTGATGGATATACTGCTTCAATTAAAGAATATGCAAAAAAATCTGTTCTCATCCAGATTTATAGGTGGGAAACGAGGAGTATTTTTAATAGCCTTTTAGATAACTGTGGATATTCTTTGCTACTGCACCTGATCTTGACGAGTGGTAATTTCTTAAAGGTTAGCTGCCATGTAGATCTGAAACCGTAGCAATGAACTTTTTGTATTTAGTTACATTAAAATCCACTGGCCTCGCTTTGCAGTCTGAATGGATCCTTACTCATGTATAATTTTGTATTATTATGTAGGGGGTCATTTGGAAATTATAGTTTATTGAGTTATGCATATCCTCCAAATGTGGACACATGACATTAAATAATATTTTAAAAACCTCTTGCTAATTCCACCAAAAATTTCATGGGAAAAATACTTAAGTATTAGGAAGCTGTCATGGTCACAGGGTCAAATATAAGTTTTAAAAGTAATAGGCTCACTATGTTCACTTTTAAGAAAATATCTGCCAGGACTCATTTGAATAATGAGTTGATCTGCTAGTTGTTCCTTCAAGGTGGTCTATGAAAGAGAGTGCTAGTTAAGCTTCCTAACTCAACCTTTGCAATGCCAACTATTTCACAAGTGATTTTTGTGTGTATGCAGCTGAAGTACTCTATATCTACTTCCTGTTTAATCATGAAGAATTTTAAAAACGTACTCAAAGGTTGAGATTTAATAAAATTTACTACTTCATCAAGGGCATTCTTAAATGAAACTCTTTTTTCCCCTTCTACTCCTAATACAGTATCATGTGATGGCTTTGATTTATTTTAAGGTGTAAGTCATTTTACCTACAACTGTTTTTGCACTATCAGTGCAAATGTCAACACAATGAAAAAGCAAAGGTCTTAATATTTGGGTTAATTAGCTTTTTGTCACTGTGACAAAATACCTGAGATAATCAACTTAAAAGGAGGAAAGGTTTCTTTTGGTCACAAGTTTTCAGTCCATGGTCACTTGGCACCACTGCCTTTGGGCCTGTAGTGAGGGAGTACATTATGGCAGGTAGTAGGTAGCAAAGGAAACTTCTACCATGGTGGCCAGGAAGGAGAGAGAGAGAGAGAGAGAGAGAGAGAGAGAGAGAGAGAGAGGGAGGGGAGGGTGCTGGGTCCCAATATTCCCTCCAAGGACACACCTTCAGTGACCTAACTTCCTTCTACTAGGCCCCACCTCCTGAAGTTTCCACCATCTCCCAACAGGACAACAGGCTGATAACTCAGCCTTTAACAAAATGGGCCTTTCAGTGACATTCAAGACCCCAACTTTGGCAGAATTATTACGAAATAGAGAATTTTATATGGTCATTGTTTGACCTTACACGGACAATACTTTAAGAACCACTGGACTATTTTTTAAATGTTTTTTTGATAAATAATGATTATATATACTTATAGATTGCAATGTTTTATATATATATATATATTTGCATTGTAGAAAGATTAAGCAAAACTGATTAGTATATCCATTACCTCATCATCTTATTCTTTTGTGGTGAAAAGGTTTAAAATAAATTCTTTCAGCAATTTTGAAGTATACATTACATTAACTATGGTTACCAAGTTGTGCAATATATCACTGAAACCTTGTACCCTCCTCCTTTTCCACCGTTCACCAACCCCACACTGGCTCTCCTTCCATGAGTTTAGCTTGTTTTTGATCTTCTAGATTATCCATTATGCTTTTCTATTCACATGTTCTATTTCTATTTGCGTTCTCATTGCTGTGACTTTGCATATACTGTTCCTTGTGCCTGTAATATCTTTCCCAACCAGCTGGCAAAATCCTATTTCAAATTCATTTCTAAGAAGTCTGTTCTAAGCTGATTTAATCCCTTTGTATTATACCACTCTGTACATTTAACATTTCTTGCACAGAGGGCAGAGGAGCTGCTACTCTTAAAGCATCCAATATGTGCCAGACCTTGTGTTAAGCCTATTGTATGTGTTCTCATGAAATCTTCAAATTAATTCTATGTGATAGATATCATTATAATTCTGTTTAGTGAAGGACCAGATAGATAGTTGAGACTAAAGTCAAATCCAAATCCATTATTTCAGCAGYGTCCTTTCCCCTATTTGTTCCAGGCACATACTCAATTTATATTTTCTGAACAGTCTAATAAATAAAATTAGAAATAATCTAATTCTATAATAAAAGGCTCTATAAAGTTTTTCATCTTTCAGAGGCTGGGGTCTGGCCCTCAGCACAGTAGTTTTTCATTCTTCATTCCTTATGACAGTTTAGATTTGGAATCTTCATTTACTTATAGAAAAAACATATTTTCATTTCTTTCAGCACTGTGTTCCCAGCCGTGTGATGGTAATTTAATGATCACACTGCCATCAAGCCAGAAACACAAATGTTGACATTTGATTGTAATGTTTTTCCTCTCAAAGTTGCTTCAAGTGAATACCAATGGCATATCCAAGCAAATGAGGTAATTATTTAAAAAGCAAATGATGTATATTTTTCAATATGCATATCATGTATTAAGCTTTTCATAATGTTAAAAATAGCCTATTGAATACTTCTTTTTCTTCTTACTCTGGACATTATGAAATGAGAAATTTTCAGTGTGCCCCTAAGAACAGCTTAATATTTCAATCATGGCTTCACTTAAGACTACAGCAATGTTATCTTTAGAATGGTGGTGAGACCAGTGGTAATAAAATGTGGCCCAAGGAAAACAGATCAGCCTTACCCAGGAACCTGTGGAAGTACAAAGTATCAGGACTCACTCCAGACCTCTGCCTCAGAAACTCTGGGGGTGGGGCTCAGCAATCTGTGTTTCAACAGCCCTCYGGATAATTATGGAACATGGTCAAATTTGAGCATCAAGAGGCAACTCAATTGTGCCATTTGGATCCATTATGTGAACTATAAAGAGCTGATAAATTTTGGAAGACATGACTGGTCATTATATAATACAATCAGTGACAACATAAGCTGTATAGCAAGGGGTCTGCCATGCCCAGAGTCTGGGYTGCCTTCAAGCCCACATATAGTGGAATGCAGACCAAGGAGAGATCACATCCTCACAAGAGAGGCCAATGTTCTATCATTCCTTGGCTCTGCCTCCCAAGGTGTGAACACATCCACCACAGCAGTACTTAATTAGGAGTAAAGCTGTTTATTGATCTGCAAGACCTATCTACCATTCCCTCCTAGGTAACTCTAACCAACTGCTTTTAAATTGCTTCTTTTCTAAACAAAACAGTAATCTGCAATACATGAATTTTATTGCTACTGGCTTAAAACATTCTATCACTAAGTATGTAAAAATTGAATACGATTTTCCACTACTGATGACAAAATTATTCATTTCAGGAATATACTACCACTATTCTAGTTACTTTGTTATTACAYGGATTTAAGGAAAACAGAGACTTGCTACCATTTTAATAACTATTTGAAGGAATGTAAAAGGCTAATTTTAATGAAGAATACATATAAACACCCGAGCATTTTGTTAGGAAAAGTAAAGATATTAACTGTTCACTTCATTTTTATTTATGCTTTTCTAAAGAAAAACTGGTAAGARAATTTGCCCCAATAATCAGAGGTTCATGTCTTTGCCAGAGAGAAGGTCTGGTCAGGTAGAGAAGGTTTACTATCTGTCTCTACGTAAGTAGGGAGAAGGACTCAGAAGAATGAAAGACTCAGGGCATATCCSTATTTGTCAAAAACCTGGAATAAACCTCCTTTTTTTATTGGCAGTTAATTAATTTTGTTTCTAATACAAATGAGAAAGAAAAACCTCCTGAATATAAATGTTTATGTGAATCATCACAAGCCCAAACAGGAAAATTTTGTTTGGTTTTGTGCATGTGTGTGGTGGTGGTGGTGTGCCGACAATGGAACCCAGGACTTCATGAAAGCTAGGCGATCACTCTACCACTGATCTATATCCTCAGCCCTTTATTTGATCTTGTGTTCATTAATAATGCAACGCTTTAGAAAGGATATAATCTTGAGAGTGACATAGATCAGGGTTTGAATTTCAGCTCTGACAAGTTCTAGCTTTGCAACTCTGGCCAGTTCTTAACTTTTAGTTAAGATTTTTAGTTTCCTTATATGAAGAACCAGTTACAGGGTTCTTATAGAATTCTTATGGAATTTTATAGGATTTGAGAAAAATATTTGGGACATGTCACACACAGAGTAGGAGATCAATGACAAATTATTAAGGTAATAAAATAAATTAGTGCCTAGAGATCTCATGAGCATACAATCTGCCTAGCTGAATTGAGGATCATACCATAAGGATCTCAACCTCGATAACCTACTCATATTTCTCCTCCAAGTTAAATATCTATAAACTGCTCGTCCCTGCTCCCCATTTTTCCAAAACACTTGAAAGGAGGACAGAAAGAGGCAGCAATAAAAAACCCAAAGATTCCCTTAAAATAAAGTAATATGTATAGAGATAATGCCTTGGTGAAAGCCAAACTGAACTGTATATGCAGTTTTATTCCATTTACAGTGAGGGAAAGAGCATTCATTTGACTCTGTTTTTTCCTCACACTATCACAGCAATTCAGAACGATCTATTCTTTATTTCTGTTATGGTGCTGTGGGTTTGTTCTTTTCTGTTAAAGTCCCTCTGTATTCACTAGAATGCAGCAGGCTATTTTAGCTAGAGATCCAGGGCCATAAACCTTATTCAGTGCAATAAGATCACTTCAATAATATTCTAATCTTGGAATGCAGTTATAAAGATGCATGATGGCCTCAGAGTGCTACTTACAAACAGGAATGGCTCTTATGCAATCTTAAAAGATAAAAAACATAACGCCTGAAAATGTGTTAAAAAATTTCCCATATTCTGCCAGTCTATTTTACATACCTGTGAACTTTCTCAGGAATCTGTGATGSAGAAGAATGACTACTCTTCTTCTTTTCTGAGTCCCGCAGTAATGCATCCTCTGTTCTACCCTTTTTGGTGATTGCTGACTGGTCAGCCCTGGCCTTACTCTGATCCACATTGAGCTGGTCCTGGGCAGGGTCACATCTATACATGAAGACAATGGCTGGCTTCTCACTGGACTCTCCTTTTGCCTCTGTAAACCAGTGATGGCGCTGAACTGGAGGAGGAGGCAGCATGTGGATGACTGTGCCATCCAGGCCCACCAGTTTCCCTTTCTCTCGTTCTTTCTCTTTGTCATCTTCCTCATCTGTTTTCCTACGGCGGAAGAAGCTTTTAAATGAGATCCAACGTTTAGGCTTTGCATCAGCTGCCCGCCTGCTGCCTTCAGAGTGCAAAACTGATTCAGCTTCCGTTGATCTGGTAGGGCTGGTTGGTTTGGCCCAGTTGGTAAAATGCCTCTGTAAAAGGTTACTTGCATGGTACGGGGAAGAAGTAGAGCGAGGCGGGGGAAAGGGAGGTGGTGGCTCACTTTGGGGGTTGCTCACTAATTTGGAAGGAGGGGAGGCAACTGGCTTTGAGAATGGGTCTTTCTGTACTTTATTGGTAGGACTTTCTGTGGTTGAAGGTGCTTCAGCCTCACCACTAAGTTGAGATGTGAAGAGTGACTTGGGTCGAACTGGTGTACCCTTAGGTGGACTCTTCACAGCATCAGCATCTGGAGGAATGGCGTAAAGCTCTTCCACACTGCAGGCCTTAGGGCCAGACTGAGGTGTTTCTGGAGGAGACTGGGGGGGCTGGATAGCAGCCACAATCTGAGAAAGCACTATGCTTGCTTTCTCCCTGCTGCTGCCACTGTTGTCCACAAGTTGAGGCTCCTGTGTGCCTTCTGTTTTGGTCACAGGCTCTTGAGTGGTTCTCTGGATTTTTGCTGGGGAGCTGTGACTGGAACTATAACTTCTCTGTGGGGAAGACTGACCTCTGTTGAGACAGTTGTTAAACTCCTGAACCTTCTGAGCCACGGAGCCCTTTTTACGCTCTGTGCTGTTTGAAAACCCTTTGGCTTGGGGACATTCAGTGGGTTTGCTAGTGGCATCAGACACTTTGTTTTCACTTTCTATTTCTTCATAAGTATGGCTTATTACACTTGTGGTTTTTTCCTTCACTGAGAGTTCTCCACTTGTTCCCAAAAAACTTTTGTATATGGCTAGATTGTCATATGCATTTGGATTAATAACAATGGGAACTTTAATAGCATTTTTGGAACTCCGAGCATACGTTGGCTCATCATGAATGATAATTGGAAAAGGTGGCATACCAGCATTGTTGTAACTATTAAATTTTATTTCAGACAAATTAGGTGACTTAACAGGGATGGTTTTAGAGGAAATGTTTGTAGCTGTGGGTGAAGTAGGTGCGGATTTGTGACAATTTTTCCTTGGCAGGATATTTGGTCCAGTTCCACCAGTAATTAATTCAACTTTAGGGATCTTTTGTCGTGGACTGGTGCTGGAAGTCCACACTTCCTGGTATCGGATTGCACTGGATTTTTGGAAATGGGCATTTATCTGTCCTGGTGTCAATGCAGGTGAAGATACTGGGGAGTTTGGAGTAGAAGATGAGATTTTTGTCTTGGGGCTAGTAACAGGGCCCTCAAGGTGCTCACTGGCCATGGCTGCTGACACATCCACGACAGTATATGGCTTGCACAATGGCTGTTCCAGATTTACAACTCGGTAGGGCTTTGCTTGCTCCTCTACAGGGACGAGGTTTATGGTTACTGCTTGTCCAGCAATATCTGTAGAGGCTTTACTTTCTTGCTTCTCAGTTTGCACAGCAATCTTGCCATCCTTCTCTTCTAATCGGAGAGCAAGGACTGCTTTGTGTGTCTCTGGAACTTTAACTGGGCTTTTGGAAGCTTGTAATGATTCCTTCTCCAGATTATTACCAGGAAGGCTTTCATTATTGGCTTCAATTTCCTTCATGTCCTTAGACTCTCCTGGGTTATTAGGAGACATCCCCCCATTACAAATCTTCTGGGATAAACTACTGGCTGTCTCAGAATGTGATTCTTCTGTTAAAGAAGAATCTGGTGATGTGGAGTCAGATGACACCATGCTCTGAATGCTTCCTTGTCCAAAGGAGACCACAGAATTGTCTTCATAACCGTTCAGGATTTCATCATAGCTGTCATCATAGTCTACAGCACAGATTCTCTGGAGTGACTTATTTCGTAGGGGGATGGTATTCCATTTTTTGTCCACAAAGAATCGAACAGGAGACAAAGTGTTTGCTCTAAAGTTAGCAAAGCGAGGTTGACCCCTCATGCGAATCTCCATGGCCAGTAGCTCTTCATCGCTCTCATCCCAGCTCTCATGTTCTTCTTCCAAGTTATTGAAAAGTACATCTTCCTCACTCTCCTCACCACTAGAGAACTCTGGGTAGCAGAACCGTCCCCCTTCATTACTGATTACTTCTGTGCTCCCACTCAAACTAACATGTTTGCCCTGAGTATCCTTGATGCCACCAATCATGCAACTTGGAGGAAGCTTTCTTTCCAATGATCGTTTGTAGCAATCATTTATTCTTCCTAAGAATGTTTCTCTGGAGTTTGTTTCATTTCCTCTTATCTGAGGGTTGGTGTCCAAACCTGCTATCTCTTTTAACACTTCAGTTAGCCCATTATTGTTATTTGATATCTTCTTTGCACTATCATTGTTGCTATAAGGCTTAGGAACATGGCTAAACCCTTCAATATCATCTTCATTATTATTGTTAAGTGGTTTCTGACTCAAGGCAGTCCTGTTTCGGTTCCACCCTACAATGACAGGTTTGTTCTCACATTGTTCTTGGATGCTAAGCTCAGCACATACACTTTGCCCATCTGCCACCATCATAGTGGGCTTCACAGCTATAGTGGGTTTTTTAGCCACAGGAGGCCGGAAATTTCCGGTGTTCCTGACACGGTGGTTATTACTGTGATTGGCATTAGTTTTCACATTGCCATGGGTGGTGGATGCCTTCTCAGAGTCTGGAGGGAGTTGGTGTAAGCTTTTAGGTTTAAAGCAATTCTTGCATTCACCAGGCTTCCAAACGTGTTCAGTGAAGGTGTTACAAGCAGACATTTTTAAAAATAGAACTTCACAGACAATGCTTTTCTTTCAGTGCATGGCAAAACTTTCATCTGTTAGTTTTCACCTCCCCTATGTTATTACAGCAGCTCTTCTAAGTATGATCAATCTGTGGGGGGAAAAGGAAAAAATAATCTGAATGAAAAAGGCACTAGAAGGCTTAACATTATGAATGACTTGAAAAAACTGGCTCCTTCTTAAACTTTTCCTTAAATTAAAAGATTAAGAGATGAGCTAATTTGGAGGCTTCATAATATCCCTTTAGCCAATCAGCAACTTAGAAAGTGAGCCTCTTAATTAGAACTATGCACTCTTTTTGGCTTGCCATCTCTGCGGCAATGATATGACCTTCCTCTCTTGGAAATTGTGTGTGTTTGTGTGTGTTGTGTGTGTGTATTTGCATTGCTAGAGATCCAACCTGTGGCCTTGAATTTCCTAGGCCAAGTGGTCTACCAAATAGCTACATCTGCAACACCTGGAAATGACTTTGACACTGCTCATCCTGTTACCAACCAATCTCTCTAATATTTTTTAGTTATTTATGAGTTCCTCTTCTTCCAACACCCCTTGAAATTTTAGTTATTTCACAGACTCTTTGAATTCAAAGCATTCAAAACGAATCCTCCTCTCGCTACCCCATTTCTCAACTCCAAGTAACTTCTCTCCTCTACCCAGTCCTCCTCCACATCCCAAGCCACCTCTCACCCTTTCTTTATCTTACATTACAGCTAATGTCATCACCATCTACCTAGACAGCTAAATGTCAACCTTCTGATCATCTTTGACATCTCTCCTCCTCCTACTAACTCCAATCCTTACTAAACTCCCTAAGTTAGTTGTATCAATTTTATCTTGTAATTTTTATTTTATTACATTTCATTGCAACCCATTCTTGCCATTATCAGATACTCACTCTCTTTTGCCTGGATAAATGTGATAGGCTATTAACTAATCTCCATGATGTGTAGTCTCACCCACTCTAATATAGCCTCTGTTTCCTTTGCTACTTAAAATGTGGGTTTCAGGTAAGCAATACCAGCCTCACCTGGGAATTTGTTAGAAATGCAGTTACCTTAGACCCAACTCCAGACCTAATGAATCAGAATTTGCATTTTAATCTCAGATGATTCCATTTTACACTACTATCAGATTTAACTTTCTAAAATCCTACTACAATCATCATATTAACCAGCTTAAAAACTATTCTGTGAACTAATTTTACCAAATGCATTGGCTCTTAAATGTCAGTGTGCATCCTGGGTGGTGCTAGCTCACTTAGGCAATCACGGTAGATCTACTCAGTCAATCTTTGGGGGAAAAATCCAGGATTCTGAAATTTTAACATGTTCTCCAGGTAATTTTAAGTGCAATGAAGTGTTAGAACCTCTCAGTTACAGGATACAATGCAAGCCCCTTACCTTTCAAGATGTGGTCCCTGCCTCCCTTCTACCTGTGTCTTGAAAATCAACTTATCATCTTATATTCTCAATTTCACCTGGGCTACTCATTTCTCTTTGGATTATTAAAATCTTTTAGATATGCTTTTATGAACAAGTGCTTTCATTTTTAGTTGTTCCCCCATTAGTTTTTGAGCTCTGTAGGTCTAGCATAATGAATAAACACTGATGATTAAATGTACTTTTTTTTTTTTAGGTTTAGAACAATGAATCTTGTGGCTCTCTTTTGTTTTAGGCTCACAGCTGCTGTTATGGATTAGATAAAGTGTGTCCCAAAAACTCAAGTGTGAGACAATGCAAGAARATTTAGAGGTGAAATGTTTGGATTATGWAAGTTTTAACCTATTCAGTGCATTAATACACTTGAATGGATTAACTGGGTGGTAACTGTAGGCAGGCAGGTTGTGGCTGAAGGCGGTGTGTCACTGGTGGCATGCCTTTGGGGTATATATTTTGTTCTTGGTGAGTAAACTCTATTTCCTGGTGGCCATGTCCTGAGCTGCTTTCTTCCACCACACAATTCTGCCATGTTGTTCTGCCTCCATCTTAGGTGCYACGGAATGGAGTCGGCCATGTATGGACTGAGACCTCTAAACTGTGAGCCCCAAATAAACTTTTCCTTCTCTAAATTATTCTTGTCAGATCGCTGAAAAAACTGACTAAAATAGCTGTAGACCTTTTCACAGAATACCACTACTATTCTGTGTTTCTACTTTGACTATTATAATAAAGTTGGTAATAGGCTTATAAAAACTATTTTAATAAACAGAAAGTTTAACTTCAACTGTGTATAATGACAGTGACAGGATCCTTAGTTTGGTCAGAAAACCAGTGTGTGTGTGTGTGTGTGTGTGTGTGTGTGTGTGCGCGTGCCAAGTTTCAGTATGTTTCTAAGGAATGAAAATATGTTTTTTAAAGCTAATATTACAAAGCAAAGTCCCTTATAATCAATAATTATAAAGCATTCTGTCTTAGTAGAATTACAGACTTAAGGGGCAAAAGAAGTCCACACAGAAAGCCCAATGACCCAGTAAGATGAAAATACATTCTTCAATTTTTTTATTCGAACACATTTATTTACTCTTTTAGATATTCTAAAAATTATACCCCTTAGTAAATTAAATAAACAAACACAAAATAATTTCCTCCTAATCTGAGACCTGAACATTGTGAATGAGGGGGAGTAGCAAAAAATTTGGCTAAAAAAATAGAGAAGGGACCAAGAGGTTTTAATCTTTAAAAGTTTTTAGCCTTTTAAGATTAAAGAATTTATCCTAAGAGCAGTGAGAAATCAATAACTAAAATACAGCTCTGACCAAAACCATGAAATCCTTGGGTATAAATCTAACAAATATGTGTAAAATCTAAAATCCATATGGGAAAAACTACGAAACACAGATAAAAGAATCAAAGTGGACATACATGGAGAGATTTACTAAGTTCTTTAGCTAGTGTTAAGATGTCAATTCTCCTCAGATTGGTTTTCAGAGGCAACATAATTCCAATCAAAATCAGAGCCACATTTCTGGTAGAAGACAATAAGCTAAATTTATATGGAAAGAAAGGTAAAAGAACTAGAATAGTTAAAACAATTTAGAAAAAGAACAAGTTGGTAAACTCACACTATTTGATTTTAAGTCTTTGGATAAAATTATAGTAATCCTGACTGTGGTATTAGTGGAAGGATAGAAATTTGGGAGGGGAATAGAGAGGGATGAGGGGGTAATTATAGCCCATAGGCCAAAACTAGTTTGCCCTGGTTTTTGTGCCCTATGCTAAGAATGCTTCGGTATTTTTAAATAGTTTACACAAGTACCTAGATAATATCTTTCACTGTGCCTTTTGGCCTACAAAATATAAAATATTTACTATCTGGTCCTTTGCAGAAAAAGTTTGCTGTTGACCCCTAACATAGATCAGAAAAGAATAGAGTTCAGACATAGACCCACATAAGTATAGTCAACAAATTTTTGACAAAAGAGAAAAAGACAGTCTTTTTAACAAATGTAGTTGAATAATTAGATACTTACAGACAACAAAGTGAACCTTGATCTACACCTCACATCACACACAAAATTTAACTCCAAAAGAATAACAGACCTAAGTATAAAATATAAAGCTATAAAACTTACAAGAAAATGAAGGAGAAAATCATTGCAATCTTAAGTTAGGCAGAGTTTGAAGATACAACACATAAGTATGAAAGAACAAACCAATAATTTGAACTTCAAAATAAATGCTTGCTCTGCCAAAGACATCAACAGGAGAATGAAGACAGGCCACAGATGAGAATTTTTTTGTAAAATAAATTTTATTTGACAAAGGACTTGGTATCTAGAATACACAAAGGATTTTAAAAACTCAACAAAAAAAAAATCCTACCCAATAAAAACCTGTTAAAAGATTTGAGCACTTTACCAAAGATAATGGTGTACATATAAATAAATACATGAAAGATCTAAGAATCCTTAGTCACATGGAAATGCAAATCAAAACTACAATGAGCTACCACTATGCATTTATTGGAATGATTAAAATAAAATTAAAACAAAAGTAAAAACTGGAGGCTGGGGTTGTGGCTCAGTGGTAGAGCGTTTGTCTAGCATGTGCGAGGCCCTGGGTTCGATCCTCAGTACCACATAAAAGTAAATAAAAAATAAAATAAGGGTGTTGTGTCCAACTACAACTAAAAAATAAATATTAAAAAAAAATAAAAACTGACTCAGGCTAGTCAAAACGTGCAACAATTGGAACTCTCCTACTTTATATTGCCAATGGGGATTCAAATGGTTCAAGGACTTTGAAAACACTTTGGCAGTTTCTTAAAAGGTTAAACATAAACTTGTCTTGGAACCTAGCAATCCTATTCCTAGGTATTCACCCAAGATAAATGGAAACTTCTGTTTACACTGAAACTGGTAGACAAAAACTGGAAACAATTTAAACATTATATGGTGGTAGTCATATAACTGCACTCATTGACAAAACTTATAGAATTATACAATAAAAAGTGAATTTTATTATATGTAAATTAATCCTCAGCAAAGCTAATTTAAAAAAAAACACTTTTACTGCAGGACAGAAAATGAAATTTGGAGAACAGGATGGATGGCAGGAGACTGTTGAAAGGGCTGATTTGGGCAAATAAAGTTTTGATGAGGATCTGGATTAGGGTATGGCATCAGGGAAGCCACAGAAAGGTGGATGAAGGAGTGAATGGATTTTGGAGCACATAAGTGTTGAGGTTTTGAGTTTATTCCAGTGATGTATGGGACTGTTTGCTAAGACAGAGAGCAATGGAGGATGTATGATTTTGAGGAAAGGGTCCACACTTTGGAGCCTGCAGAGAATAAAACAGACAGGTGAATTCAGGAGTCCTGGAACATAGAAGAGAATTCTGTGGTTCTTGTCTATTTGAGAATTACTAGTAGAGAAATACCTAGGCCAAAAAAGAAGACTGATAAGGATCTGGAAAGGTGTGTGAACCAGAAAGAAGAGGATAATTCCCTGCAAAACAGAAAAGTAACATTCAAGGTGTGAAGAGACTAAGCCAGAGGAGGAAATGTCATTAAAAGGGGGAAAAGGCAATTATTTCAATTGCTGCTGAGAGGTAATGGAAAACAAAGACTTACATGTCCCATTGGACACGGCA